AAATATTTTTCTTTCAACTAATTGTTATTGATGATTATCAGTATCAAAATTATTGAGCTAATAGAAACAAATAGCTCTATCTTAACTAATAAAAAAAATTGCAGCCATGTCCCATTACTAATCAGAGTATCATTTCATGTTGAAATGCTGGAATCAGATTTTTTTTCTACAACAAACACTGATTATTTATTTAGTGCGTTCTTATTCAGACTTTCCTTGAAGCTCAGGACAGTGTACAGCACAACAACCCTGTGAGGTATCTTAGGCCAATAGATCATGACTGACCCAAGATCACCCAGTGGGGTTACTGGTTGAGTGGGGAATTAATTATACACAAAATTAATGGGCAGGTTTCTTAACACCTGTCTGTTCCATCTCTGCTGGATTGTTTCAATTGTTGTGTCCTGAGGATGTGGGCAGGCAGCTTGAGGAAGTGTGGCCAACCACCTGCACATTTCTTAGAGCTAACTGTAGGGGGTGGATCCAGGGAGTGATCAATGCTGCACTGGAGCAGGTGGTACCATTCACCTACAAGGAGATGGTGTGTCCCCTCCTTGGATCAAGAACTGTTCAACAGCTATTGTTCAGTGGTGAACATCAGCTTTGGGGGCAAGAGAGGGTGTGGTGGTCCAGCTTCAGGCATGCTTGGAGGAAACTCATCTGGAGCCATTCCAGACTGGCTTCAGACCCAGTCATGGCCCTGAAACTGCTTTGGTCACTCTGGTTGATGACATTTATATGAAGCTGAATCAGGAGAACTGGAGTGCATATTATATTCAGCTCTTTCTCTTTGTTCTATATAAATCAGGAGAGGTGGTTGATGTATAAGATGAGTGCTTGGAGGCCGTGATGAGCTGAATAAAGGCCAATGAATTAAAGCTAGATCCTGAAAATTCAGAGATGTTTTGTATCCAAGTTCTCAAGTCCTAGAGGTGAGGAGACGGCATGTTCTTAGATTCCTCTGGAAGGAACAGTTTCATAGCTTGTATGTGCTCAGTGGAGGCTCAGGTGGCCGCAGTCGTTAAGAGTGCCTTTTCGCACCTATGGCTGGTTTACTAGCTACAACTCCTTTTAGACAGAAACAACTGCACTCCATGCTCCGTAACGTACATGGAGTTGCCCCAGATTTCTAGCTGGGGTTTCATTTTAAAACAGGTGCATTACCAGTTTGTTTCTGGGCCCTATTCAAAGTGTTCACTTTAGTGTTTAAAGCCCTAAGTCATGGGTATGCAAACTAAGGCCTGGGGGCCGGATCCAGCCCAATCGCCTTCTAAGTCCAGCCCATAGACGGTCCAGGAATCAGCATGTTTTTAAATGAGTAGAATGTGTCCTTTTATTTAAAATGCATCTCTGGGTTATTTGTGGGGCATTGGAATTCGTTCTCCCCCCCAAAAAAAAATAGCCCCCCCCCAAGGACTGAGGAACAGTGGACCAGCCCCTTGCTTTAAAAGTTTGCTGACCCCTGCCCTAAGTGATTGCTTCTTTTTCTATAGAACCTCTTGGGACAGGTGTTAAGATCAACAGAGAGAACCCTCATGGTAGTTTCACTACTCTCTCAGGTTTTGGTAGCCAGCCAGCATGGTGTAGTGGTTAGAGTATTAGACTAGGGCCTGGGAGAGACCAGGTTTCAAATCCCCACTCAGCCATGAAGCTCACTGGGTGACCCTGGGCCAGCCACTGTTCTTAGAGGAGAACCAGGTATGACAACTCAAATTCGTTAGGGGGAAAAGTAGGATAAAAACGCAATAAATTAATTAATAAAAATAGTAATGACCTAGATGAGGACATTCTCTGTGACAGCCTCTAAGTTGTGGGATTCCCTCCCCACAACTTAGGTGCATCTGGCACTTTCATTTTACGGTTTTTGTTGCATGCTAATTTGTTTTAAACTGTTTTTAATGCTAGCGGTGCAGCAATAAAACTGCAAGCACATTTGCAAAGCTAGGCAGGGCCCAGTATGGTTTTAAATTGGATTGGGGACCATATGTTGAGATTCCTGCATTGCAATAGGGTTGAACTAGATGGTCCTTGGAGTCCCTTCCAACTCTGCAGTTCTATGATTCTATGTTGTATTTTAAATTGGTATAACCTACCTTGGGCTCTTATGGTGAAGAGTAGGTAATGAATCACAGTATTATTATTATTCATAACAACAATAAATATCATTGTTAATACTCATGGTAGTTGAAGGGAACCTGTTGTATAATATAGGCTACATTCCAGCCATGCAAACGCGCATCCATCCAGGCAAGCAACATACATTATCATCATTCAGGAAACAGGAAAAATAATTGAGCAGGGCCAGAAAAGGCTAGCCTGGGGAGGGGTGTTACCTGAGCCAGTGGCGGAGCTTCATGCTCCGGCACTTGGGGGGCGTGGCGTGGTGTGTCTGAGGTTCTCTGCCCCTGTTCTAAGTAGACATCCACAGGATTGTACTATACTAGTTCCTTAATTAAACTAAACATTTGACTTATTTTTTGTGGCTACATGATGCCAACAATATACTCTGTATTTTGAAAAATTAAGATAGGTTCGTCTTTTTTAAAGAGAAAGTTTAAAATCCTTACTGCAGTCTAGAAGTAAGAACTCTAAACAAAAACAAAATTAAGGCATGTTGAGTAATCATCAAATATCATTGTAATAATTTCAGTAAAATCAGGTCTTCAGTTCTAAAATCCATTTAATTTATTACCACATCCAAAAGTTTTGTTGTACTGGTAAAATTTGGCTACATCCATTACTATGGTGGTACTTCAGGTCACAGCTGGTATCTAATCCATTTCTCTTACTTCTAAAGTAGCCTAAAGTTGCCTGCAGCCTACATGCCTGAACCCTAAGCAAAGCACCAAAATATAAATGTTGGTTCAGATCCCCTTATGTCAGATTTTAATATTTAATATCTCTTACAGTTGAATTCTTAAGTTGAAGTCCCCATGCACCTTTAAAGATGCAGAAGGATTCTTTCTCTTTGTAGATAAAGAAATTTCTAACAATCTGAATTGATACAAATGACAATGTTTAGGGAAGCCACTACTTCAGAATTTAGAATGCTGAGATCTAAAGGTGATGATAGGTCAGCTTTCAGCATGAGAGCATGAGTACATGGTGTCACCTTTGACTAGTTTAGGAAGGCTTTTACATGATCCCATACTCCTTGAAGCAACACAGCAGACTATTTTTATTTAGGTTTTCCCCTATTATATTTATAGCAGATCCTATGATTCACAGATATAGGGATATATGTATAGTTTATTCAACAGAATGCTTAAGGATCCTGATAAGAGCTCAGTACTGTTATGATGGTTAAGATTTCACATTTATTTCTCTACAGAAATAAACAAATCAAATATTTTTATTTGTAATAACATAGCAAATTCTGGAAATTTCTGAAGCCATTGAAGATTGCAGCAGGAGTAACACTCCTTCTTAACCACTAAAAGCCACAACTGGTTAAACAGTAATTACATATCTCTAATAATGTTCTAAAGAGCTTCTTTAATAGCAGTGGAAGTTGTGAAAATGGCATCCTGCTAATGCAGTGTTTCCCAACCACTGTTCCGCGGCACACTAGTGTGCCGCGAGATGTTGCCTGGTGTGCCGTGGGGAAAATTCGAAAGATTTGTGTTTTTTTTGTAAAAGTCAAATTAGGTCCTAATCTATCCCTCGAGCGCCTCTTGTCCGTTATTGTGACGCATGAAGCGTGTTCCCGCCCACTCCCCGCCCTCCCTTGCTTCTCTCTCTCTCTCTCTCTCTCTGTGGCGTTCTCCGCCGCTTCCTGCTGGGCATGCGCAGCTCGCCTTGCGCTTCCATTCCGACCCCTCCTTCCCCCGACTACCCCGCCGCTCCGTTCCTTTCTCTTTCTCGCGTGTCAGAGAGCGGCGGCGCGAGCGCGGCGGTTCCCTCAGGGCTGACGGAGGGCTCGAGGAGGAGGAGGCAGGACGTGGAGGCGGAGAAAGCGGCGGCGGCCACCCCCCACCTCCGGCTCGAGGCCCGCGTAGAAAGCTGAGGGGGAGAGATAGATAGAGGTGGGCGGCGGCGGCGGCGACCACGACCAACCGCCACAGTAGTTGTAGCGGTGGCGACGGCGAGCAGGGACTCCCGCTCTCTCTCCGTCGTGTCTCTCTCTCTCTCTCCCCCGGGCCCGTCCGTTGAGTCTCCCGCGCGCCTCGGCTACAAGATGAGCATCGAGATCCCGCCGGGTCTGACTGAGCTGCTGCAGGGCTACACGGTGGAGGTGCTGCGGCACCGGCCGCCGGACCTGCTGGCCTTCGCCGCCGAGTACTTCGCCAAGCCGCGCTCTCCTTCCTGCCTCGCTTTGCTGCCTCCTCCCCCCCACCCCCAAAGCTTGGAGGTTCCCCGGCGCCGACCCGCAGGTTTGACCCCCTTCTCACACCTGTTCGCGCTCCTTGCACGGAATGGGGCGGATGGGGAGGAACGGGGCTCGCCGCTGCCTCCGCTCGCCCTCCCCCCCTCCGCCGGCGGTCCCGCGATTCTTGGCTTTTTGGCGGTTGGCACAGAAGGAAGGCAAGGGGGAGGGGAAAAATTGAATCTTACACTTTCGTGCGTCCCTCCCGGCGTGACGCTGCGCGCTGACGTCACGGGGCTGTAATGGTGGTGTGCCTCGAGATTTTTTTCATGAAACAAGTGTGCCTTTGCCCAAAAAAGGTTGGGAAACACTGTGCTAATGGTTATGCACAATGTAGTGGTGGTGGTGGAGCTGCTGCTGTCAAGTCTCTCATATTTTCAGAGATGTGCCTTTTCTAGACTGGCCTAAAAGAAAGGCTTATGACACATGATTCTCTAAGAGTGGATCTATCCATCCGCTTGGGGTATCTTTTGGGGCCCCTACAGTCCTGTGAATACATATGGAGCAATATAAGCCCAATGGTAGAGGCACTGACAGTACACAGTTGTGGTCTCTTTTGCCCTATCTATGTTTCTTCCACACCACCAAATGTGGCTTGTCATGCTAATAATGTGCATGCTTTGTTTTTTCACAGAGGAAGATGTATACGGTATTTATTCCAATCTGTTGTTCAAGCATTTCCTTTCAGAGGGAATAGTCTGTGGACACCATTTATTTGTTGCTTCAGATAAAGAGGACCCTGCTGATATTGTAAAGGTAAAGAAAAAAATACATCCATGTAATTATTGCTTAATATCTTCTAATATAGATGGTGCTAAAAGCAACCCTAAAGCTGGCAGACTATGCCCTATATGAGAACTCTGTTAGTAAAGGACTTGTGTGTTACCATACCAACCATGCCTTGCCTACTCCCTCCATGTAAAAAGTAGTGTATGGTCAGGAGAGTATAGCGTTATTAATTACCTAAAATCTTCCTTAATACGTTACCTGTACCTTGATTAAATTCAGTAATTATAGTGATTCAGAGAAACTAGGGGTGGAGATTGTGTTGGGAAAATGGGGCAAAGAAAAGAAGTAAAATGACACCACATCTTGAGTTTGAAGTGCTTGTACTTCTCATAAGAAGTACAAGAGAGAGAGAAGTATAAGAGAGCCAGTGTGGTGTAGTGGTTAAGAGCGGTAGTCTGCTAATCTGGGGAACCGGGTTCGCGTCTCCGCTCCTCCACATGCAGCTGCTGGGTGACCTTGGGCCAGTCATACTTCATTGAAGTCTCTCAGCCCCACTCACCTCACAGAGTGTTTGTTGTGGGGGAGGAAGGGAAAGGAGAATGTTAGCCGCTTTGAGACTCCTGAAGGGGAGTGAAAGGCGGGATATCAAATCCAAACTCTTCTTCTTCTTCTTCATACTAGGTACCAATGAGATTGAGCAAACAGGAGCCTGAATGCCATTTTTTATGAAGCATGGGTTGGTGGCACACACAGAGTAGTGTGCGCCAGTGTTATGAATTAGTTTGCCATTTTATATTGTTGTGTTGATTTGTGGGGCCTAGCTTTAGAAATAACTGAAACTAACCATATATAAATACGTATATAAAAACTTCAGTTACCAGAAGTTGAAAATATCAAATACACTTAATATCAACACATTATATCAATACTCCACAATAAGACTTGTTTTAAACGTCTTTTAAAAATGTAGTATTATGTAGCAAACTATGAAAAGTAGCTTTTGTACTCGTTGTTCTTCCTGGCCTTTATCACCTGAGCCTTAGGATTTGGATATTCATTGATTTCTGTTGGCCCCACAACCTACCTTAAAGAGGTAGGGGCAGCAGCACAGACAACACTGGGGAGTGTTGTTGTTGTTTAGTCGTTTAGTCGTGTCCGACTCTTCGTGACCCCATGGACCAGAGCACGCCAGGCACTTCTGTCTTCCACTGTCTTCCGCAGTTTGGTCAGACTCATGTTTGTAGCTTCGAGAACACTGTCCAACCATCTCATCCTCTGTTGTCCTCTTCTCCTTGTGCCCTCAATCTTTCCCAACATCAGGGTCTTTTCCAGGGAGTCTTCTCTTCTCATGAGGTGGCCAAAGTATTGGAGCCTCAGCTTCACGATCTGTCCTTCCAGTGAGCACTCAGGGCTAATTTCCTTAAGAATGGATGCGTTTGATCTTCTTGCAGTCCATGGGACTCTCAAGAGTCTCCTCCAGCACCGTAATTCAAAAGCATCAATTCTTCGGCGATCAGCCTTCTTGATGGTCCAGCTCTCACTGGGGAGTACTTCTGGCTAAAAGATAACGTGGCAGCTAGCTGTGCAGCGGACACAAGTCTCAAAGAGGCCATAGAATAATGAGTCAGTAGATAGATTAGCAAAGCAGAGAAAAGGCTGGAGGAGGCTGAGTAAGGAAGCAAGAGGTGAAGGCTTGGAAAAAGGGAACAAGGAGGAAGAGAAAGAGGAAAAATGAGAAAGAAGAGAATATAGAGGATCAGAGCTGGGAAGCTTTACCTCAATGGAGATTGAGACTAGCAGCTATGAGGAAAATAGGGGAAGGTCTGGATCTAACAACCCCAGCGCCGCATCCAGAAAGTCTGAGAGGCAGGTCCCAGCTGTGATCTTTCGTTGTTTGAGGTAAAGGATAAGATGGTGCCCTAGTAGATTCAACATACAGAAGATGATCAGACTGGCAGCTGAATCATACTTAAATGCTGATAACGGGTCACTGTGCTCTACTACACCTAAGGACAGCAGACTAACGCATGGAGTGTATGGCAGACTTCATAGCAGACACAGCTCTGACCTACAACACTTCATTCTCATTCCCATTCCTTCCACCCTCACATCTATGGCCTGAGGCTCCTACATCTCTCTGCCTAATTGTAGGGTTGCCCTGTTGAGAGGGAAATGTTTTGTTGAATATCTGTTATGAAATGTAAATTCACCTTCACTTTTGTGTCCTCATTAGGCTTTTTTCTTGAATTAATACTCTTAAACATGAACAAAAGAGGGAAAGGTTTACTGGAATTTCTGTTTACAGTGACATGTGTATCAGACATTCATTGAGCACATTAAGGGTTGATTTCATCTGTTATGCTATGATCTTTCACAGAAGATAACTCTTTCCATGGCTGTGGTCAAGCTGGTGGTATCAGAGGTTTTAAGTCTCCAAATACAAGTTGCTGGGAAACACATTCAGGAGAGCTGTGCTGTGCTCATAACCTGCATATGGACTTCCCATAGGCATCTGGCTTCCCACTATAAGAAAAGAATGAGATGGGCTTTTGGTTTGATCTACCCTTATCTCAATAATCTGGGTTTTATTAGACAGTAGGTTTGGAAATGTTCCAATGTTACTTACTGTCACTCCATCCCAATAAACCATTGCTCCTTAACAGCATATCATCAGTTTGCAACTAATCCAGTATATGGGTGACTAACAACAAGCTAAGACAATTTATACATATGATTCACTGTAGAAATTTTTGAATTGACCTGTTTTAATTTTATGATATGTGATTGGGAGTTTCTTGATCCTATAACCAAGACAAATATTGCTGGTTCTAGGAGAGGGAAGAGATGGTTTTATAGACCATAATTATGTTAAAACTGTGTAACTAAAAGACACGTAGAACATAAAAAAGCCCCATCAGCTGCCTAAGATATATTATATTACCACCCAGCAATTTATCCATCATCCTTTGAAAACACATTCATGCCTATTGTAGTCAAAGCTTCTTCAGGAAGTCAGCATTAAGATGTAACATTGTTGAAAAATTACACCCCTGTAAAAATCCTATAGAACAATATACAGGGGGTTTTAAACAGGATATTTAAAACATTTCTCTTCAGTCACTTCATCTTTCTAACAGACAGCTGTACTGCTGCATACTAGAACATAATAAATTATAAAGTAAAAACTAAACCAAATCTTTATGTGACCTGATTACAGTGTCATGCAGAATTATTCTTCAGTATTTTGTAGAATCCAGAAAGTGTGCTTAGGAAGATACATGTGATGAGTTGTAAGTGGGACTCATTTTCATTCTAACAAGTGAAGGTTAGCAGTGTGCTTCAGTGTTGTTGGTTTCATTGGTTTTTGGGTCCATTTAACCTCTGCTCAGAAGGATGCCAGTGGAGCTGTGGTCTAAACCACTGAGCCTAGGGCTTGCCAATCGGAAGGTCAGTGGTTCGAATCCCCGCGACGGGGTGAGCTCCCGTTACTTGGTCCCAGCTCCTGCCAACCTAGCAGTTCAAAAGCACGTCAAAGTGCAAGTAGATAAATGGGTACTGCTCGGATGGGAAGGCAAACAGTGTTTCTGTGCGCTGCTCTGGTTTCACCAGAAGCGGCTTAGTCATACTGGCCACATGACCCGGAAACTGTCTGCACACAAACGTCGGCTCCCTCAGCCAGTAAAGTGAGATGAGCGCCATAACCCCAGAGTCGTTCGTGACTGGACTTAACTGTCAGGGGTCCTTTACCCTTTAACCTCTGCTCAGCCATGAAGCTCATTTAGTGTTCGTAGCCAAATGCTATCAGCCTAGCCTGTCTTCCAGTGAGAATGCATCTCCAGCCAAGAATTTCACTAAGATTGCAGTCATTATTCCACTTACCTAGGAGTAACTCCCCAGTGAATTCAGAAGGACCTCTTTTGAGTAGACTTGGAGGGAGGACTCAGGAAAGTGACCCCCTCCTTGACAAGTAATACCACATTCTTGGGGGTGGGCACTGGCTCCACAGGTTCATCTGATAGCAGCACTTCTGGGGCTGGTCCTGCATGTCCTTCGCCTTCAGTTTTAGAGTCCTCATCTCTGTCATCCTGTGAAAATGAATCTGACTCCTGGTCCCAGACATTAGTCACCAGGTCTTAGTGGCCATGGAAGAGATATTTTTCGTTCATTTTAGCTTATTCATCAAAATCCATTTTAAATCGCCTTCTCCTTTTTTCAGCTCCTGCAAATCCATGGTTTTATTTTCCTTTCTTTCATTTGCCTAGATCAAACTTTGGCCCACTTCAGATATAACAAGCTATGCTTTAGTGTTTTGTGAACAAACTGCACAAATAAACAGTACCCTCTTCTACTTAGTGCATGTGTGAAGGAGACTGAAAGCAGTGAAACTCTGAACTAACCACCATTTCCGGTTACATCGAAACTTGGGAAACTATTATTTATTCTAACAATGTTTAATGTAAACAATCCAGGATCAAACAGTGGTTCTAATCCTCATTTGTTTGAACCAACCACCATTGAAAGACACAAGAGTTTCCCAACTATGAATGTAATTGTAAAGTCTAGTTTATTTAAAAATTAAAGCTTTCAGTCCCCTTGTGCATGGAAGAGCAGCTGAGGGGGAGTACAGGAAACCAGTACAGTACAGTACAGACTTAATGTGGTCCATTTTTATAACTCTTAACCGGTGTGGGCCTTTATTATTTTGAATGCTGTTGTATTAGCTACCATTGGTTTTTTCCACACTATTTAAAATACTCTGAAATATTATAATCTGTTAAACCTCTGTGCTGAATGACTATCATAGTGGTTTAAAATCATGTTAACAGTCTTTAATTATTATTATTTTAACTAGAATGCTTGTATAATTAAGGATTTGAGGTGACTGAAGCAAAATGGTGTTTTGTTTTGTTTTAGTTTCCTGAATTTGATAATGTTGTGATTGTTATTTCCACCTCTAGTTTTCTGCAAGCTATGGAAAGCATTTACTTACAATTGATATAATTGTAAGGAAGAATTGTTTAAGGTGT